TTTTTAAGATATTCGTTGCGGCTGCTGCAACGATGGTCTCGGTGGTTGTCGGCTGAATCGTTTTTTGAAAAAACGATTGGAAGTGGCCAACAATTCACCGTGACCACCGGCAACAGTCTTCTGTACAATTCTAAATCATCAGTGGCCGCCCAAGTAATTTTCATTTTACGGTAGGGTAGTTGGCAGTGGTACTGTTTCGAAAACCGTCCGACGACTGGATCTATGGTGACGACGGACTGTTCGACCTTTTCTATTTTAACGTCCACTCGGACCAACACGCCTTCGTCTGGAATGGCTTTTGCGAAAAGCACAGCATTTTTCAACTTTGGCCATTTCACTTGTGTAACTGCTGTCAGCCCAACATTTTCTGTTTCAGAATCTACGGTCGGGTGAACAGTCAACGGTCGCACGTCCGGCGTAACGGTCCGCGCGTCACCGGAGTTTTTCGTTTCGGGCGACTCGACCAGGTGAGCGATCGCCGGCGCCGAATTCGACGAGGCGTTCAACAGCGATTGGTCGTTCAGTTCCAGGGTACCACCAGTTGTCCGGCCGTGACTCGCTTTGCGGTGGAACCGTCGGCAAGGGTGCTTCAAAAATTTCCTGACGGCCTGGGCTATCCTGACGAACGAATTATCTCCACTTGCGTTCACGGAAGCTGTGGATTCGACCGTGCACGGTTCTACCGCGCGTTCATCGACTTCGCCTTCGACTGGCCGACACCGACGGTGCCAAACTTTCATGCAATCTGCAAGAGAACAGAAATCAAAAACTGTTTAATTGGTATAAAAACTTTGAGCACGTGCGGTAACAACCGTGCATACTTACGGATGCAACCCAGAGCCTTTGACCATGGCCACTTTAACTGTTTGCATTTACAGCATTTGCGAGTCCATTTCAATGTTCTGACCAGAACGTGTTCGCATGGTTTTCTAAAAATGAAAACACGAAAACGGTATTCCGTTAGATTAAATAACTACTACAGATCATTGTGATTACGGTGTATAAACATAACTGAGGCGCGTTCTTGTGAACGCAGTATTTGTATTCATTTTGAATGATTTTTAATTACAATTTATTTTTGTTTAAAAATAAATTTTGTACGAAAATATAATTACTCGGTATTCCTATTAGAAATACGATTATTTTAAGTTTCCCATAAGGGATAGAACTTATAGAAAACTGAAAATAAAATAATTAATAGTCCAGTACTATTATCTAGTTGATGAAAATATAATACAACAATACGGATATTTTATTCAACATTATAAGATTAAAAGTAGTAGAAAAAATTCATTTTATATGACATTGCCGACGTTTGGCGACCTGGAATGGTGGCGTGGCAGTCAGCAACGGATTAGTTATTAT